AGTCATTATGCAATGAGCACATGTGAAAATATATAAATCTGGATTTTCTGTGGACTCTGTGATAGTGGGTACAAGTGTACCTATCATCATATATTAATCTACAACTATTAGTAGTAAATGAACACAAACATCTACATACATTAGTATATTTATAGAGATAAACGTATCACTTCTGTTTAGAATCATGAGCTATCTAGCATACTGATTAGATTCTACACAATGCATTAGTAATCACACATCTATATTGAAAATAAAACCATAAATACAGTGATCATATAAACTTAACAACACTCATATTCAGTTCTCTGTAGTAAGGAGGACCTGGAACAACGTGCCAGATGATGAACCAAACATGTCTGCCACCAGTAAACCCTCTATCTCCTGCAATACAAGCATTAACTTCCACACAGAATAATTTCACTTTCATCCTATGCAGACTACTTTAATTTATTCACGACTAGAACTAAACTGACCAAACTCACATCAATTCTTAAAAAATACTTAAGAGAAAAAAGGATACAATGTCTTTACAAAAAATACCTGTCCTCACCCCAAATGAAAACTGTCAGTTACAGTCTACGCTTCTTTTGTAGGTGTTGTCTAAACATTTAAGTGCAGTGTCCAGTCTCACAAAGTTATCTTAGTACTAATTTGATCGTTACTCCCATACTTTAACATTGGCTTACAAGTGATTTGTGCAAAGAGGCCCGTGATCAGATTTATTGATATGAACATGTAGAGTCTTGAGCACAGATTGTTCAGAATGGTGCCAGGTTCATCAACAAATGTGATAATGTAACCCTCCCGGACAAAATACTGAACTACTTCCTTACATTTACAAACTCCTACAGTATTGTCGCTACTGATTATATTGACACAATGTAGTGCAACTAAAAACACAACATGCACCTTTGTTATTATTAAAACTTGGTAGACCTTCCATCTCATATTTTCAACCCAATGCCTGCATACAATCAAACAGAAGATGGTAACTCACAGTCTATCTTCAGAACACAACATGGGCATGAGGATACATATTACTTCTTTTTTGATTTGTCGACCAAGACTGACTGAGTTTGGTTTTACGCCGCTTTTAGCAATATTCCAGCAACATCACGGCGGGGGACACCAGAAATGGGCTTCACACATTGTACCCATGTGGGGATTCAAACCCGGGTCTTCGGCGTGACGGGCCAACACTTTAACCATTAGGCTACCCCACCGCCCCTGTAGACCAAGAACATAGCACGGACTATATTAGTGCACATTTTAACTCGAGGTAGTCATGGACTACTACTGCACTAGCTGACTCAGATCAGCAAATGTAGCTCACTGCTTAGTGAACACTGGATATGTTGGTGTTGTGGATGAAGTCACAAATGTTTCTCTACCAGTTCTTGTGTGACACTCACAGCTAATCTCATGAAGCTTGGTATAGAAATAGCTAGTACAACACTGACTACGGTCAATTAAATGCTCATCAAGCATCTTAAATGAAAATGAACAAACCATGCCCGTATGCTTCAATGTGCATCAATAATACCTTAAACTTAATGAGCAATTTCTCCTATCCTATGGCAGATCTACCTAATGTTGAGCACATTTACATCAGTATTATTAGATTTATTTTCACAATCTGAGATCACTATCATGCAATTATCTCAATCTTTTCTAATAATATTCTTTTAACATCATCATATTGTTATGACATAAAATGCATATTAATCTCATGAATGGTGACATTTCTAAGTCTGCATTCAGCATCACAAACCATGATGAGAAACCGTCTACAGTAAATATATTATGCAGTTGTCTATAAGAAGCTGTAAACATATCCAGATGAACAAATCACAAACTACTGCCAGCAACAGATCACTAACAAAGAAGTGAAAACATGAATTGTCTGTCAAACGTCAACACAGAAGGACTTTAGCAGACAGCTGACAAACATATTTTTCTCTATCCTATGTTATTATTAAACACATTTAAACCTTCATTGAATTACTGTTCTTTACCCATTATGAGATCACAATTCTGTTCTTAGGTGATGTCAGGAATTAACTGACCATTCTGAATGTTCATTTACAAGTAAAACCAACACAACTGTAGGTCATTATGCAAAATTCTTCTGATTTTATCACCATAACATAGTTTAAGTCAGAGATATCCTTCTAATTGTTGATTCCTGAAGTACTATGAGCAGATTCCTGTGACGTCCCCATTACCATCTGTGTGTCACAAGTTGAATGTTGAACCGCTCGAGCAAGACACTGCAGTAACTGGTAATTATGTCAGAACTGTACAATCTCTGATAAGAAATAACAGAATATTTGGCAACAGATGTACACTATTCATTCATGAGGGTCAGACAATCTAAATTCTGAGTAAGAAAAAGGGTATTCTATACATATTCAGTCTGGTTAAGATCATGTATTATTTCATATGTGTGTTCATAATGTGTATCTACAAACTCAGTGTCAATACCTATTTGAATCATTACACGGACAAAAGACACAATAAATGATTCACATCTAAATACCAGGGGTGGAAATAACCCATTGCCCAATGCCAGAGTCCAGTGTTTTTTTCTGTCGGGCAAGCAAATTTGTATATCACACTGTACCGGTGTCCAGTTGATATTCCAATGTTAATTATGTTGTTTATTTAAAAAATCAACAACAAAATGGCCGGTATAGTGGAAAAATTATCAGGGCAAGTGATTTTACATGTGCCACTGTCCAGGAGTACACTAGCAATTTTGAAGTTATTTCCAACCCTGAATACTTGTGTTAACTTGTGTTCTGTACCTTATGGATAGGTAATGGTTGCCCAATAAATAGTGACCATATCCAAGGCTATCATGTCATTACAAAAGAACATTAAATATACTTTCATATTACCCTCAAGCAGCATATAGTTCGTAATACAACTACACCACAAGACAAGGTATTTACACACCTGCCTATATATAACAAGGAAGTTTTTGTACTACAGTAAAGTGACATGAAAGAAATGAATTTAAAAGGTCTTTTGTATGTCACTAACTTACAATTACACGTTCACAGAAACAAAATATTTTTGAAATGTCATTTAAAGCATCAATTCATCAAAGACATACTTCCACAAGTTCATCAAGGGCGTCTAAAATAGGTAAATATGTCAGCTTCTAAAAAATATATGTATTGATGGACTTGAAGCACCACGTTATTGACGTCCAAGAATAGCTCCACACACAGATACAGGGCGCTCATCACAATCCTGCTACAATGCTGTTGTGTATTTATGTGTACAGTTTCCAACACACTTACTCCGTAAATCCAACAATCTCTCAAAAGCAATATTGTGCAGCAGAACCAAATAGTGAGGGATTTATGTTGGGTGGAGGAGACACAGGGCTCCTTTCATTTCAGTATAAAGCAGTTTAAAAGTTGATCTAATTTTTACATTTAATGCACTGACATAAGCTTTCAAAAGGCTTGCTGTAACAGTATTGTAATCATGAAATTATTCACTTTATATTTGTATAGTGTGTAATATGAACATCAAAACACCCTTCACAAAGGTACAAGTGATTTCCTGTAATTAAGTCTGTTAAACACTGCTGTAAAAACAACTTAGCTCATAATGCATGGTTTGTGGAAATTTTCAAGGAGCTTAATGAAGAACTGTACATGTTGGGTTGATTTGAACTGGAACTGGGTGATGGCTAAACCGCAAACTAAATGAACTGATCTTTGAAACTTTCATTGAACTTTTAACAAAAAATGTTCACAGAAACAAAATATTCACAGAAGGACAGTGATCTGTTGCATTAACATCAAAGTAGGACCAAAGTAGCAGAAGACAGTTGTGTGACAAATAAATACATCTTCACGCATGACCCAGGACAGTCATGTGGAACCAAATAAAACCGAAATAACACCAAAAATTAACATATCAAATGTTTCCAAAATAGACCAATACATGGACAAAATAGGGTTAAAAACTAATCTCCATTTGATACTGTACTGAGAGGAATGTGTACAAAATATATCTTCCCAAAATAGGGTTATGTACAGTAAAAAGATAGAAATTTGTTATGTACAAGTCATCACAAGACATGAGGCAATTTGAACTCTATTATTGCAGTTAGTCTACATACCATCCTCACTTTCTCCAGGAACCATCATCTGCTGCGATACATAGAAGCACCATCACTTATTTCCAGCAGGGCCTTCAGCCCTGGGCTATGATAGCTCCTATATGTTACCAGGTTTACAGTTGTCATGACAGTAAATTTCCTTGTGTTTCAAGAAGCATCAAACCAGATCAAGCGACACCATCACGCCTCTGTATTTAAAACATGGATGACAGTTGTAGGACTATAATTATGTAAGAGTTCCAAGGAGCATCCATCCAGAGTACGCCATCGCATAAAAAGTTTACATAAACAAAATGTTCATCTCAGGTATTCAAAACTACTTTACTGAGAGAAGCTACTGGCAACAGATTTTGTGAGCAGACTTCTCGGTGTTTGTGGCTATAACCACTCAATGATGGATCTCTTTACCATTGTTTTCTGTCATAAGAGGATCCAAAGTCAGATCTGTTACAAAATGTTTAGCAAAACATTTATCATTATCAAAGCCTTTCATATGTGGAGACTGTTCCAAACGTTTTTTCAGACTACATGACTGAAGTATCATTTTCTGTAGATTTCTGCAACATATGGAGTATTAGCTAAAGTCACACATCTGAAATGTTTTTAGACAAGATTCAGTCTTTGGACAAGAGATTTAAGTCACCGACTGAATGTATCAACATCTAGCAAATAGTTTCCACAAGGGACAAAACTGACTGTACAGCAATTTGTGATGAGTGATGGGGCAACTACTGCATCCTGAACAGGAAGAAGATGACGGATCCTGGAGAACTTTCAGTCTACACATCAGACACTGAAACCTTGTCATTCCTAGATCAATGATATATTCTCATGTCAACATTGAATTATTTCCAAAAGATTCTTTCAAAAGTGTTTATTTCTGTTACTCGTGGCCATCATTCAAAACAATGACAAAGAACGGGACAATGACGCTTCGAAACAATTTCCTTCATCCCAAGTTAGGGACTGGTTGAGTATTTCGTAAATGTTTTTTTATATTTTTTTTCACAACATGTTAACGGATAATTAATCTCACCATGTTAAAATTTCAGAATACCATATTAGATCCTATACATGCTATATTCTGTACAGCTGTGTCACACAAGATACAGTCTGAACATAGTCCAGAAACACACATATATATACACTGCCTGCTCTACTGCACACAGAACAGTCACATAGTAAAACTGCGACCACATATACAATCAAACAACTGCATGTCACAGGTAATATTATTATTATCAAGGATATTAAAAGTGATTTGCTCCTGTGAAGGCCTATATATCACTGCTGTCATGCATATCACTCTTCCGTCACAGATAATTCCACCAGTCACAGATGATAGCGATGACATTGGTTCTCATGGAGGTTGACAGTGCTGAATATTTGATGCCAATCTTGCTGTCACACATAAATCAATACAGATGACATCCTTCTTTCCACTGACATGTTATGTCTCAGAGACAATCCATTTGTCTTGAAAAGAAACATGTTTGGTCAGTTCCACAGCTTGTCACTGACACAAAGAGGAATCAGTTGAAAGACAGAAGAATATAGTGTTATTGGAATGCAAGATCAAAAATGACTGGTCAGATAGTATTCTCTACTGATAGGACCCACTCAACACAAGCTAAAATATTATCTTAATTCTAAAACCTAACATTTCCTGTACAAATCTGGAACAGTAGTTTCTACAGCCTATGGATAGACAACTTTACCTATTGTACAGAAAATTTATGACAAGGAATATATACATACTAGAGGTTCACATACCACATCAGGAGTTGACAAGTAAATGCATAAAGACATATACAGTGAAACTCTGCTAGCCAGGACCCTGTTAAACCACAAACCTTCCACACAATTACTGTTGAGAAGGTACATCTAGATTAGCAGAACCCTTTTAGCTACAAACTTTCCAGATAATCACTGATAAGAAGGTCTATCTATAACAGTGGGACAGTCTTGATTAGCAGAACCCTTTTAGCTACAAACTTTCCAGATAATTACTGATACGAAGGTATATCTAACAGTGGGACAGTCCAGATTAGCAGGGTCTCACTGGATACTACAGGTATGGTCATTACATTAAACAGCCAGTCAGGCACACAGTATTTTGTCAGAGGTTCCTCTGACTGGGAGCACATATCAGGATGGATCTAGAAACAGGTCACATGGAAATGTGTGGAGAAGAATATCACTTATCAAAATGTATTTTCAATTTTCTGTTTATTTACACTGGAATGTTTATACAGGTATTAATTTGATTATTTTATCTGATTCAATGATATACAGTTGACGCATATTCACAAGACAGTCTTCAGGAAGTCAGTATCTGGCATAGTCTGGCTGAGATCATTGATGCTATATTCAGGACGTTATTCCATATATACCTGTCACATAGCAGTCAGATGGAAGGTAAATTAGTGTTAGAGGTCTCTTGTTTACTGTGTTCAATGAAACTGAAGCCTAAAGTCCATAATTAGTGAATAAATTATTCAATACTAAAATGCATTTATCTTTGAAATTTCTCTCAATCCTATTTTGAACTCACTAAATCAGAATGTTAATTTCAAAATCTAAACTCATCTTTCCTTGCAACTTTCACAAATAAACAGGAAAGGACATAATACATTTTTAAAACAAAGAAGAGTCAATAATGACTTATGATAATTTTACTTCCGTCAAGTGATGGCAAGTTTCTATTTTCAGTGGTTAAAGCCCTAAAATCATGTATTGTTCCACTTTCAAAATGTTAGAATAAATATGGCGCATATTCCAGATCTCAGCAGCATGAGTATCATCTACCGGTAATAATGGCTTATCATTCCAGAACAAGGTTAACTTGAAAGATGGTATTGCATTTACCTAACAACCTTATATCTGCAATGGACAGATGCTTCAAGACACGATCCAGTAACAAATTTCAGTAGTACTAGCGTTCATGCCAAAAGAAAGATGCTTTGTAAATTAATAGGTGACTCCTGTTTTTAGTGGTACTGTGGCTTGTAATGCCTCTTGAAGATTCTGTAATCTCTGTCCAGGTACTTCGTAGTGTCGTCTCCCTGCATGGTTGTATTGAGACAGTTTATGTTTCACCACCACCAGCACTGTTGCATTGACAACACGATAACTCCTTAGTAAGCAGCTCCCTCTTAAATTACCTCGTGACCAATCTTTGCCATATTGGTCCCAGTGCAAAGATTGTAACCCAATGCTGCAATATATTGCATAAAAACATAAAATCCCCATTGATGTGCATGGCAATAATGAAGATGATGCTTGGTTTGTCATGAGATAGTCTTTTGTGGATTTCCATTTGCACCAGGAATAAATCACAAGGTTCACATACGTTGTTGCAATAAGTCAGTGTTGGCAGAAATAATCCATGATGGACATCCAGCTTTACACATCACCAGGACTCAAATTGGACTTGATTATGTTTGAAAGGATCCTTCCAATAATCATGTTCAGAGATCCTTGAGAGGAACCAACAGAAGCTGAAATACCATAAGCTGAAGACCTGACAGTTAATCAGTATTAATCTAATGATGGATCTGATGGTCCCCACATCTCCATCCAGGTTCTAATGATTGAAGGTGACGAGAGCAGCTCCTCCTGTACCTCCAGCACACATCACATGCTCCTGGTCCCCTCCCTGTAGCCCTGCACTATGCTTTCAGCTTGGCTTTATAATGTTGTTTGGAGATGCCATTCAGAGGTTTCTGTATATGTCCATTTGGTTTTTTGCTGTTCACAAACAGCGTCTCCTCCTCACTTGAGAAGTCGGATTCCGAGATCATCACACTGCTGTTCTGGATCTTACCTGCAATCACATCAAAGCAATGACAGGAATTATAATATATGGCTTTCTTCGAACTCTCTTCACTTATTCAAGTAAAACTATACCACAACAATTTCCACATATAAATATCTCATCTATATATTCACTGGCTACCAACACTGGCTGTAAGAGGTGACAAGCAGATATGGTGGTCAGGTTCTAGGACTTGGTTGCTTCATGTCATTGTATCCCGATGTGTGGAGTGTTCCTCACAACATCACCCACTGGATTGTCTGTGACTTGATTATTTACAAGACAATGGCACAAACATGAAATGTAAGAAATGTAGGAACAACTTAAATAAAGTCCCTCTCTCCTCCACACTGTCATGGTGGCAATCTGCAGCACTCACCTTTTGGCATCAGTTCTAGCTTATTCTTGTCTTCCTCATCATCTACCTCTCTCAGTAGAGAATATCTGTGTCGTTTACGTGACTTCCAGCGGCACCTGGCAAAACCAAGTTCCCCATCAACTAACATGTTACACTGACATTAACAGATCAAGTCACAGAATAAATAAATCAACTAAAAAATTCCCATGTTAACACAGGCCACACCAATCAACTAACATGTTAACACAGGCTACACCCATCAACTCCCATGTTAACACAGGCTACACCCATCAACTCCCATGTTAACACAGGCCACACCCATCAACTCCCATGTTAACACAGGCTACACCCATCAATTCCCATGTTAACACAGGCCACACCCATCAACTCCCATGTTAACACAGGCCACACCCATCAACTCCCATGTTAACACAGTTTAACACATGCCAGACAACTCCCATACACAACACAAGCTACACACACCCATCAATTCCCACACCCATAACAGAGACCACACCCATCAGTTCCTATGTTAACAGAGACCACACCCATCAATTCCCATGTTTACACAGGCTACACCCATCAATTCCCATGTTAACACAGACCACACCCATCAATTCCCATGTTAACAGAGACCACACCCATCAATTCCCATGTTAACACATGCCATACCCATCAACTCCCATGTTAACACATGCCACACACATCAATCTCCCATGTTAACACAGGCCACACCCATCAACTCCCATGTTAACAGAGACCACACCCATCAATTCCCATGTTAACACACATCAATTCCCATGTCAACACAGGCTACACCCATCATCAATTCCCCATCAACTCCCATGTTAACATGTTAACACATGCCACACCCATCAATTCCCATGTTAACACAGACCACACCCATCAATTCCCATGTTAACACATGCCATACCCATCAATTCCCATGTTAACACATGCCACACCCATCAATTCCCATGTTAACACAGGCCACACCCATCAGCTTCCCATGTTACACATGCCAAACCCATCAACTCCCATGTTAACACAGGCCACACCCATCAATTCCCATGTTAACACAGGCCACACCCATCAACTCCAATGTTAACACAGGCCATACCCATCAACTCCCATGTTAACACAGGCCACACATCAACTCCCATGTTAACACAGGCCACACCCATCAATTCCCATGTTAACACAGGCCACACCCATCAACTCCCATGTTAACACATGCCACACCCATCATCGTTCATTTCAACATGTTTGATAATCTGTATACCAATATTTCAAAGTTTTCCACAAGTTCATAATTTCACATTTCTAGTTGGGCAATAGTGCTCTTATTCTGCCTAGTCTTTTCAGATCATTGCTATGGATAGCTCAAATCCATGACTGAAGGTTTTTTTAATCAAATATGTACCAAACGAATTAAGAATTTGTTTATCATTATTTATAGGAGCATTTTACATATTACAAACAAACTTTACCTGGTACTCACTTCGCCATTCACCACATGATGCCAATTACAGACTAACAGACCAGGTTACTAGGCATAATAAACCTGAAGCTGTTACAAAACCCAAACACCATAAATACAGTCCCCATCACAGCCCATGGTAAAAGCCTGGATCAAGCAGGAATGACAAATCACCAATGAGGGAGAGGGATGGTTTGGGAGTGGGGAAGGACCCATTATAGGTGACGGTTGTGGATGAGGGAGATGGGTGCAGGTAAAGGAGGGATCAATGGGATGAGACAGGTGTTGATAGAGGAAAGAATCTTTACCCAACATGCACAGAGTGATCCAACATCCACCAAAACACAAACCCAGGGCTCCCCTTGTTCTTATTGCACATAACCAGTCAAGTTCATAATGTAATCAGCAAATCTTATTTACGCACATTTTCTGAACTTAACCACAAATATCATATCCTTCAACAGCTCTTATTAACATTTCCATGGAGTCACTGGTAAAAAGATTCCAAAGCATGTAATTCTAACCACTGATTCAAACAAATCATATGGGGAGTGAGTGAGTTTATATCACTTTAAGCAATATTCCGGCAATATCATGGCAGGGGACACCAGAAATGGGTTTCACACATTGTACCATGTGGGGATTCGAACCCGGGTCTTCGGCATGACAAGTGAACGCTTTAACCACTAGGCTACCCCACCGTCCCAATTATTTTTTTAAAATGGTACTGTAAGATACAAGAGTAGAAATCATCACATCAAGGGGCATAACTCTTACTTTCTGATTATTATTAACCCTTAGCGAAGTCTCTCCACATATATCTTACTAGATGAGTCTCGTGAGGTTTTCACATGTATATGGACTATGTAGAACTGATTACATGATACAGTGAATAAGAACAAGAGGATGGTGAGCAGATGAAACAAAGCTGAGTAAACGAACGTACAGATAAACTGGGACTGGAGAGTACCTGTAAGTCCTGTAAACAACAGTCACCATCTTAGCAAACTAAACACTGGTAGCACTGGGAAACACCACCACCAATAAAACACAGGACACTCCAATGTAAACATGGACAAGGTGGAGGATCACTGGGTCAATCTGTAATCTACTCCCGTACTTTTAACACAGACGTACTGTAGTCGAACAATAGTGAATGAGTTTAGTTTTACGCCGCTTTTAGCAATATTCCAGCAATATCACAGCAGGGGACACAAGAAATGGACTTCACACATTGTACCCATTTGGGGAATCGAACCTGGGTCTTCAGCGTCACAAGTGAACACTTTAATCACTAGGCTACCCCACTGCCCCTAGTCAAACAATAGCCTGGTTAATATTGACTTACTGATGTCAAATCAAGGTCTCTTTTGTCAAGCATGTCAAGCTAATGAGCACCACTGAGCACATTATGCTGTAAATTAACTGCTTGATATAAATCAATTATTAGGATTTTTTGTTTTGTTGCACATGGCGACAAGGTTGTTTGTCAAATGTCAATAATGTTTTGGGCCATAAGTCAATAAGTCATTCAGTCATCAAGGCTGTTGTCATTACATTTATAGACTACCTATTTCCACTGCTCATGACAACAATGTTAATGTGGTCAAATATGATAAGCAGGATATAACATGTGTCAGCAAGGGCCACATATCAAACAAATACTTTGATACAGATGTCAACCAGAACACTGAGTCACATGTCTAGCATGATATTTGGGTACAATGAGTCAAGCATGGTCATGTCAATCAATTAATGTGCTCAAGTCAGTTGGGTTAATCAGGTAAGATCATGTTCCTTCCTTTCGTCCCACTGCTTTAAAAAAACATTCCTTATGATTCACAAACTCTAAGTGTGATATCTTCACCTAAGTTTTACGAGTCATGTTTGTAACAGATCATATGAGAGCTTGAGTGAAACCTCATGAACTTCATACAACTGTATTACTTCACAGAAATGAAAGAAAAAGACTGTTATCCCAAACAACATCTCACATACATATTTTGATATCACATTCAGAAAATTACCTCAATCAAAACAAGGATTTTTCAAATGTTCAAAACTTTGCTTTCAAATTGGAAAAAACACATATTAATATGATAAATGATAATGTTTTCTTTAATTCACAGGAAAGGGTCAAATAACTAATGAAATAAGAAACAGGACTTAATTTGACACATCGAAAATGAGATCTGAGTCTAAGTTAAAGAGGTTTAACTATGTTTGAAGCTCTCATAGCGCAATGATTATCAATTGTTACTTCCACAGTTAGCCCTAATTCTCTTCAAGACAGAGTAGATTCAGCTGAGGAAATGCAATGCTGTGCTGTGACACTAGCAGCACACGTCAACAGGGACAGGACTTCTAGACGCTAGTATCTACACTAACATACACACACAAAAACATAATTATCTGGACTTACCTTTTTGATCGTAAACAGCAAATAATGCCCCACGTTCCCCCAGCAATACTAACGACTATAACAAAGCATACAATCACAACGTAAAGTATGCTCCAATCTGAAATACAGAAAACATTACTTCATTATTGACAAGTCACCATTAAAGGGGTGGTTTAACAACATTTGTCTGTCAATCACAATTTCCTTGAAATTACTGAAATGTCTCACTACAGAGTGAGAGAGTGAGTGTTGTTTTACACTGCTGTCAGCAATACCCTGAGAGGGAGGCCCAACATGGTATTCACACACTGGACATGAGTGGGGAATCAAACCCAGACCTTTGTTGTGATAAGCAACTGCTTTGAACCACAAGGCTACCCTACTCCCCATTCTATTTGAGACATTAAACACTGTGCACAATCAAACAGAAGCAAGTTTTTCTGGTATGTTACTGTCAAAATATTATGTCTGGCCATGTTAAACTCCAATCTTCAAGTACATATTGTCCTCCCTAACTGTAGGGTGCAAACTAATTGATGCTTTCAGCTCCAACTATGTCTTCAAATAATATGTACATGTTGAAACAGAATTTCACTTAACTTTTGTTTCAAAAGATATATTTCTTAACAATCCATAGATACAGTTGTTGAAAGAGTGACAACATTTACTGATCTACGTTTTGTCTTTAGTGTGAGGTACGTTGGTACACTATCAACACTTACCACAATTGCTTTCTTTTTCAAAAACATATAACTTGAAGAAATTCTGCATCCAGAATGCTTCACAGATGCACTTCTTGGTGTGCAGGTCACAGTGGCCATGACCCGAACAGTTGTTCTGGCAGACTGGAACACAAACATTACAACTGCAAAAAGTGCACCAAATATCGCCAGAAAACCCAATAGAACCCAGTCTGTTTGACATCTGATCTACAGAACTCAGTCTATCATCTAATATACAGAACCCAGTCTGTTTGACATCTGATCTAAAGAACTCTGTTTATCATCTAATATACAGAACCCAGTCTGTTTACCATCTGATCTAAAGAACTCTGTTTATCATCTAATATACAGAACCCAGTCTGTTTACCATCTGATCTAAAGAACTCTGTTTACCATCTGATCTAAAGAACTCTGTTTATCATCTGATCTAAAAAACTCAGACCATTTACCATCTGATCTAAAGAACTCAGACCGTTTACCATCTGATCTAAGGTTTACTACAGAATCACTTAACATTTCACATTGTACTCTCAAATGATGAAGGTCTGTTACTGTGAATAAGTTTCCGAATAATATTAGGATGACTTTGGAGAACAGTCGATACTACATCACAGATTTGAAGTACCATACACAAATTAAAGAAACTGATAAGGGGAAAATACTCTAGCATCACAACCTGTCATCAATAAAGGGGAAATAACTCTTGTGTACTTACCAACTGTATCTAAACTTATGACTCTGTAGTCTATTACTGAGGACTCTGACACCAGCTTCCTCTTCAAAACACGCAACATCTGCGGCCCCGAACGCACCTCCTCCTTGTTTCCAAGTTTAGACTTCACCAGGAATGTTATATGAAGGCTGGAAGGACAATGTTACACCTGTTGGGCCCCAACACAACAATGTTTCAAGTCGTTGAGACAGGTACAACATAACTTCATGAAAGTCTAAGGTGAGGTGGAACTACATTCCACATCTGGTATGTATTTCCAATCTCGGTCTGGATCTTGTAATTAAGGGAAACAAATTTTGATATTCTGGCAGGACCTGTTGTTTATCTGTTCTGATATTCAACGTAAACTGAAAAGTAGACTAAATAGATCGCTTCCCCATCACTTTCTTCTTGAATGCTTTAGATATACTTTATTTCCTGGATCACGGTTCAAACCCAAAAAGATACCCCGGCTCCAGGGATGAACATGCTTCAGCCCTCTGATTGGCTAGCCTGAGAATGGCATCATCCATCCATCCATTTTCATCCATCCATCCATCCATCCACATACATACATACATACATACATGCAAATACTTGTACAGCGCCAATATCCGTAAACCGCTCAAAGTCGCTTTGGCTCTAAGATGGTATTGATATCACATAGAGTTCAAATGCTTCAGTGAAGAAACAAGTATTTAGATTTGATTTAAAAACAGCTACATCTGGTTGTGTTCTGAGGTGAGATATTGACAGATTTTTCCCTAAATTAAACAAGTAAATGCAAAACTGAATATGCACAACTCAAGGTGTTTGAATAACTTGAAGATCTTAAATATACATGAGTAAAAACAAGCTGTTGTGCTCCAAACATTTGTACATCTGACTTGAAACAGGAGGATGGGTAACCTTGTATGCCAGTTTACACTTTATCCATGGATGATGACATATTTCATCTCACGTCAGGTTTGACTTGTAGACAGTAACATAGTGATCTCAGTGGACACAGACGACCTGACTGCTGAAGCTGGTGTTTACTCACTGTCCTGATGTGTAGTCCTGCCCCAGGTGCTGGATGCTGATGATGGTGTCACCAACTTGTGATGACTTGTGGAGCAGCAGCTGAAGCTGGTTTACCAGGTTGTTCTGCAAGACAAAAGTCAGTGAGTTCCGTTTAATATAGCTCTGAAATGTACCTCAGTTATATCATGGCAGATCAGTTTCATTGTGAGGGGAAAGGGCAAATCAATGCTGGTAATATATGTTCAGCATTTTGGGGGGACCTATTAGCACTCCTGTGGTGCTGAGATTCCATAATCAATAATCCGAGAAAATCTGGAATTCAAACTGCGACAGATTTTGAACAGCTACAGGATACAACTCTGCACAATGAAATGGTGGTGGCTTAGCAACTGGGTCTCATGCAACACACTTGAAATTGAAAAACAACACTTTTCACAGTGTTTACACAGTAGAATGTCAAAATATGGTTTGTGGAAGAATATCATATTCAAGATTTCATACTTTGTAGATCATAATATAAAGATAAACATGAGATTAACTCCTGCATGGTATTTAATGACTCTTACTTTTTCTGAAGAAAGTAGAGTATGTATATGTATGTTTTCTTCTTGTGTTACTTTTTTTACTTTTACTTATGCCCAACACTGAATTTTCTTAACACACATCTTACAAATTGGGTGTTTTGTACCATATGTACATGATTAAGCACCTGATAACCAGGACAACACAAGACTAATTTGGTGCAAAAACTGAATGAACAGGATTTGTGTTAATATTACAATTACTTGGTGAGGTGTATGAGGTCACAAAAGCGTTTCTTAAATCTGAAAATTATTCATGATAAAAGCCTGCAATCATGCACTTTCAAAGAGACTGGATAGTTTTGTTTTTACCTTGACAACATGCCAAGTCTGCTAGGTAACCTAGACCATATGACACAGTGTATAGCTAACTCACCTTGTTCTCCTGGGTGAAGTGTTGGATGTCTACATCAAGCAGCATCTCAATCAGGTCACCTTTGTGAGGATCTGACAAACACATTAGCCTGAGCTACAGTACCTACACTTTACAGGATTATATTGGTCATGTTCAATGGGTGAACCAGTCATGTGTGCAAACAGACACATGTCACTAGTTATTGCACTGAACGTGTCACATGTTATCGCATTCATTTCCCAGTGAATGTAAACAATTAAGCCACACCCATCAAAGTGGACTTCTTTCACCATGGCAGATTGTCAGAGAATCCCATTTACAGTCAATGGAATATTCAGTTTGGTTTGGTTGGTTTGTTGTTTAAAGCCACACTCAGCAATATTCCAGCTACATGGCTTCGGTCTGTAAATAATCTAGTCTGGACAATCCAGTGGTCAACAGCATGAGCATCCACATATTCAGGATCACTCAGAATGTATTCATGGTAACTGCTACAGATATATGTCACATTAATACATAAGCTGTATAGCAAGTCAACCAGTCACAAAAATATCAGCTGAAGCAAGCATTTTGCCTAAGATTTTTACTTTGATTTTTAAGGAATAGAAATTAATTGCCCTGGTTGAGCTGAATACTTTTGCTTGTAAACAAACACAATTTAGCCTTGACAATGATTTCTTGATTAGAAAATTCATATATGTGCCGAAGAGGTATGACAATACATCTGCTATTAATGAGATTGAAGTAATTCCAATGTGTTATATATGTGGTACCAACCTTCCTTGACAATGACAGAGGCTGTGTCTGAGCTGGACAGCCCTGCTGCATCCACCACAGACAATTTGAATATGTAGCGGCCTGCCACAACATTGCTGAGCTGCAGCACAGCCTGGTGGTTGGACCCATTCACTACATCCTGAAGGAAGGCAAGAGAGGACAACTCTTACTGACAAACATAGGTGGCATTCACTTTGGGGAATTGGCAGTCCAGGCAAATATACTAGCACTAATTCTGTAAGTTCAGGACTCAAAAAAGAATTTCATCACTATTTAATATAATAGAGAATCTGTAAGTATCACAATGCACACTTTACAGCATCTCAACATAGACTACAGCTGGAACACAGTGTGTTTTGAAATATGAATGACACAGGAGATGATTGCCCCTGAAAGAACTATTTCCAAAATGGCTGCCTGATTCAGTCATTTGTCTGCAAGTGGCATTTTGAGGATCTAGTATATTCATGACAACGTTGATTTCTGGATGTCAACTTGGTATTTCAATTGTATTTCAGTACTATTGTCTTATCAAGTAGTTGATTACGGACTCTGAAGATAGTTGTACTCACTCCTGCAGCTAGACTCTTCTCATCACGGACCCAGTCGTAAGACTTGATACCAACATCATCATGTGACCTGGAGCCATCGAGTGTCACGGTAGCCAAGGGGAGATAAACTACCTTGTCCCCTCCTGCATTAGCTACTGGAGCCTGGTTGGAGTCTGGTTTAAAAAGAATACTACCAATGAGAAGGATCTACAGCTTACTACCATATTTGATGTACACTCTTACAATTATCAAGATAAAACATACATATTACTTGTGATTGGGTTTTCATAAATTACAATGAATTGTTCAGTAGCAAACTGACAGTGAAAAGTGTCAATTCTAACAAAGTGGGCACAGGAGTGAGTGGGTTTAGTTTTACGCCTCTTTTAGCAATATTCCAGCAAATATCACGGCAGGGGACTCCAGAAAGGGCTTCACACACTGTACCCATGTGGGGAATCGAACCCGGGTCTTCGCCATGACTAGGAAACACTTTAACCACTTGGCTACCCTACAGCCCCTGTAGGCACAGGAAGAGGGTGCCCACCCACTTATGGTATGCTTGATGATGGATGCCATGAAATGTTTACCTGATACATGAATGAGAAACTTTCACAGTTTAAATATATTCTAAGTGATACAATGAGAATGACAAGTCAATAAACTATGTAGCCTTAAGCTTATGAACACATACTGGCCACATAAAGAAACTGTGCACACAGAAAATATAAAGATAGGCAGACGCGTCTTTATGCATAAATAAAGGTGTGAACATAGCAAGTATTGGAGACAATCTAACGCCCATGCAGGTGTCAGGCGACGTGACGTCATTGATGGTGGCCTATGGACTTGCAGCTGCACACAACATGTGAAACTCAGAAAATGATGTCACTGTCGAAAGCTTGATCTTTGGTCATTCAAACGTTCACAAATTCACATGAGAAATCACATGCACATCATGCCAAGTTAAGATGTGCTCAACGTCATGAAGCCATTGGAATGGTTCGAGCAGGCATGAGCCAACAACAGGTGGCAGCACATTTCCAATGCCATCGTAACACGATATCTGCATTGGTCAGGCGTTAGGGAAACAGTAATGACGTCGCCGACCACCCATGTTCTGGGCGTCCCCGAGTAACGACGCCAAGACAGGACAGATGGATTCGGGTGACTCATATCAGACACAGGTTCCAGACGGCAATGACCACGTCCCAAACCATTCCCCAGGCCTTCATTTGGAAAATTTGGTAGCCTCTATGCGTCGCCGATGCACTGCTGTGCTTCACGCGCATGATGGTCATACCCATTATTGACTTTGTGACTTCGACATGTGACCCCCGACTCAATTTTGAACTTCTGACGTCATTGTTACGGACATTGTTCATGTTATTTTGACATGTTGTTGAGGCCCGATACTTCAGCTTATAAAGTGTCTACATCATGTTGTCTTTTCTGTGTTGTATTCCAATTCTGAAGGAATTTTCTGTGTGCAGTTTCTTTATGTGGCTAGTATATATTGTTATGTTTTCCATGGTTATGTAACTCCAGTTTACTTATTCCAGCTATGTACACAGGTATGACTCAAAGGTCATTAAACTGTACAGCAAGACAAATTGAGTGGATTTGGTTTGGGTTGTTGCCCTCAGCACTATTCTAGCTGTATGGCGGCTTTCTAAAAATACTCGAGTCGGGACCATACAATACAGTGATCAACAACATGAGCATCAATCTATACAATTGGGACACGATGACATGTGTAAACCAAGTCAGCAAGCCTCCCGTTAGTCGCCTCTATGACAAGCATGGAGACCAATTCCTACCCAGATCTTCACGGGTACTAATTGAGTGGAATGTCATAGGTTTGGAAGATGGGGGCTGCCGATCTGCTAGAAGGTTTGTGTAACAGTTTTACTGTGCCCCTGTCTAGGAGCAGCTTCAGTGACCCAGACACATCCTTACTTTCATGTACAGTCACTGTGAGGTCCGCTGAACTGCTAGCCCCGTCCTCATCCGTCACAGTCAGGGTGAAGGTGTACTCGCCAACCTCTATCTTCCCTGTCCCCATGGCAACGGCACGATCAGAATTCTGGATGGTAAGTGTAGGCCCTCTGAAATATGCAGCGACATCAAACATGTTGAAACTGATGCTGCGGGCAGATGAGCATTGACAAACGTTTGGCTTGCAGAACCGGTTTCATGAACTACATGTACTGCCTTGCTTGAAGACATAAGTAACATCAAACTTTATGAATAAAATGTATAATAACTTCTGGTTAATTGCATTAATTGCATTTAGTCATGTTTCATGTTTTCTTATTTACTCATTGACTTTGAAGATGCAAATCAAACAGTTTTCATGAAAACATCGTCCTGATTACAAGGTATGAATGCACTGGATACACTGGCCTGAGCTGATGTAGCTTCTTCTTAACAAGTCCATTCTGGGTGTCACCAGAGTGATCTTCCTGGCACGAAACCATACTCACTTGTTCACTGGCCAACTGACCCACTCACTGATTCACCAACCCATCCATCCACTTACTAACATGCCCACCTACTCAACAATACACATATCATCATGCCCATCCACTCCACTACCTGCCTATTGATAGGCCCACCTACTCATCTACCAGCCCATTAACATGCCCACCTACTCAACAATACACATATCAACGTGCCCATCTACATATCAACATGCCCATTCACTCACCTACCCGCCTATTGATAGGCCCACCTACTCAACAATACACATATCAACGTGCCCATCCATCAACATGCTCACCTACTAACAACCTATTAACATGCCCACCTACTCAATTGATAGGCACCTACTCAACTACACCCACTTACCATATGCGCCTACTCAACTACCCACCTATCAACATACCCACCCACTCAACTACCAACCTATCAACATGCCCACCCACTCAACTACCCACCTATCAACATGCCCACCTTCTCAACTACCCACCAACATGCCCACCCACTCAAACCAACCTATCCACCCTCACCAACCAACATCTATCAAACTACCCACCCTCACCAACCCATCTATCAAACTACCCACCCTCACCAACCCATCTATCAAACTACCCACCCCTCACCAACCCATCAATCAAACTACCCCACCACCTCACCAACCCATCTATCAAACTACTGCCCACCCCTCACCAACCCATCTATCAAACTGCCCACCCCCTCACCAACCCATCTATCAAACTACCCACCCCTCACCAACCCATCTATCAAACTGCCCACCCCTCACCAACCCATCTATCAAACTACCCACCCTCACCAACCCATCTATCAAACTACCATCTACCCATCCAAACTTCACCCCACACCAACCCATCTATCAAACTACCCACCCCACACCAAATCCCATCTATCAAACTGCCCACCCCTCACCAACCCATCTATCAAACTGCCCCACCCTCACCAACCCATCTATCAAACTACCCACCCCCACCAACCTAACCCTTACCCATCCATATCAAACTACCTACCACCTCACCAACCCATCTATCAAACTGCCCACCCCCTCACCAACCCATCTATCAAACTGCCCACCCCCTCACCAACCCATCTATCAAACTGCCCACCCCTCACCAACCCATCTATCAAAGTACCCACCCCTCACCAACCCATCTATCAAACTTCCCCCACCCCCACCCTCACCAACCCATCTATCAAAGCTGCCCACCCCTCACCAACCCATCTATCAAACTACCCCACCCCTCACCAACCCATCTATCAAACTTCCCACCCCCTCACCAACCCATCTATCAAAACTGCCCACCCCCTCACCAACCCATCTATCAAACTGCCCACCCCTCACCAACCCATCTATCAAAGTACCCACCCCTCACCAACCCATCTATCAAAGTACCCACCCCTCACCAACCCATCTATCAAACTGCCCACCCCCTCACCAACCCACCTATCAAAATGCCTGCCTACCCACCTATGACCATGAGCACTCACTTACCCACCCAAAATGACCCCAAGAGAACTGACCCTTTTTGTTTCCAGGCATAGGTGGCTATCTTCTGGTCATCTGTGCTGTTACTGCCGTCCAGTATGAGGTTCTCCCTGGGAAGACTGACCGTCACCTTCTTTAGCGTCCTTGCAACTGGGGCGTTGTTAGTTTCTACAGTAGACACATGAGTATGACATCATAATATGACATCACGTGTACTTACTCAGAAGCAGTGAGTACTATTAAGTTAATGAAGGCTGAAACACTTCATAGCATCCTAATTTGAACTCTATGGTACCAGAATCCCAGAATTGTACAAATGCAAGAAAACATCATACATCACACAAAAAACTTCAATACTTGTGAAAAGGTAGCCCTAAACATACTTATTTCTTTTACTTACAAAACTATTTCAAAAATTTCAACAAAAACCAATGTTGTTACAATTTTCTGTTCAGATCTATTTTGACCATGAACCCAGTAAATTATCTGTTTACCAACTAATTGAAATGAACACTTTGAGATTAAGTGAAAGATTTAACAAAATTGTTGTTATGATAACTTGGAAATTTTAATATAAATTGTATATTTATATACTTATCCTATCTCACAATTTGCACTTCTCTCTCTTGCTTCAACGCTGAGTGGAACGAATGAGAACTTTTCCTGTAGGCCTCTCTTGTCCATACGCCCGTGTTCCCCAGGCTGCTTTCTTTATAGGACAGGTCCCTAGTCCCTGGCTAAGCATGCAGCACATTCCCCTGTCTACCCACTTGACTACCTCAGAGTGATCATTCTCTTCTTGGAGCCAATGACAGTTATACGTAACCGTCGTAATCTGAGTAGAGGGGAGGCTGGGTGGGCATCCATCGCGTGAGATAGGATAAGTATATAAATATACAATTTATATTAAAATTTCCAAATTTTTAAACTTATCCTATCTCACGATTTGCACTTATCCCACGGTCTGACGGCGGATCACAGATTACCCTAAGTCAAAAGGGACTGACAGTATACACTGTATAGGCTAATGACAACCGTAGATAGCAATGAACAAGGGAGGCTGGATCTGACTAGCATAGTACTTATAGTAGTGATGGGTTCTCCTGAACCCCTTGGCTTACTAGGCATCATCGCTCCTAAGGAGTGGGTGCTCCTGAGCAATGTGGCGTTCGGCCGCAGCAGGATCTGACTAGCATAGTACCTATACTATTGATTGGTTCTCCTGAACCTCTTGGCGTACTAGGCATCATCGCTGCCAAGAGTGGGTGCTCCTGAGCGATGTGGTTTTCGGCTGCAGGATCCGACTAGCATAGTACCTATACTAGTGATGGTCTCTCTGAACCCCTTGGCTTACTAGGCACCATTGCTCCCATGGAGTGGGTGCTTCTGAGCAATGTGGTGTTCGGCAGCAACCCTCGCATACGCAAGAAAACGCAACTAGGCAAGTCACCTTGCTTCGCCACGATTTATCAGAGTACCCCCGTAATTACGACTAGTAATCGGGTCCGCACCTGCTTCGAGACAGCCCCCCAGACCCCATCACGAAGAGGGGAAAAGGAAACTGAATCGGAAAACTCACAAGTTTAACGTTCAGTACCAAAACAACACCACATGACTTCCACTACTTACCACAGTTACCGGTAGGTCACAATGGTGTGCTAAGGTACTTAGAGCTAGAAAGCTACGAAATCCATAAGGAAATCGGGAAGGACTCACTACACTGACGTGATTGCTCCGTGGAGTAGAGATCAGCAAGCGAGATTGTTGAACACTTCTACATCCGTAGGGACCAACAACAAGGTAGGCCAAGAACTACCAAGGTCACTACGTGCGATGGTTAGTTCGAACCCATTGACTTACTAAGCACAACTGCTCCCAGGGACCGGGACTCCCGAGCAATGTGGTGTTCAGTCACTACCTTCATGAAAGTGAAAGGACTCAGCTTAGCGTGTGTAATCAGTCGCATTACCACGGTTTCCAAGGTACCCCCGTAATAAAAGTCTAATGACCAGCCCAGCTTCGAAACAACCCCCACAGACACCGTCCCGAGGAGGGTGAAAGGGTAATTGAATTGGAAAACTCACAATTTTAACGTTCAGCACCACAACATCATCTTATGACTTCCACTACTTACCACAGTAAAATCACATAGATGTGTATAGGTACTTAGGAGCATGAACACTACGAAGTGTAACACTTCGGGAATGACCCACTTCACTGATGTAATTACTTCATAGAGCAGACGACAGTAAGTGAGGTGGCGACTCTCCAGAGTCTCAAATTAAATTGAGAGGAGAAATCAAAGTCCCGGAAGAATCGAAGACACAAATCAGAAATAAAATTCAGAATTTTATTCAGATCCTACACAAAGCAGCAACGAACGCAACTGGTGATCATCTGCGCTGAAGCTGATGGTTGTACCGAGTGGCGAACAGGTCTGGTCGTGATACAGGTAGATCTTCAATTGGAATATCAGAGGCAGTTGTTTCCACTCCGTGAGTGACGGGTGTTTGGGACGTGACAGGGCATCGGCAATGACATTCCTCATCCCGGGAATGTGTCGGGCTCTGACCACTGTGTTGAGTGAATCGATCAGATGATAAATTTGAAAAAACAGCAACTGAAGCAGAGCTGCTGATCCTGTCAACCCCTGACGGTTTATGTATCAAACTACCATCGAAATGTCTGATTGAATCAGTATATGAGAGGACCATAGTTCAACTGCCCAATGCCGAACGGCGAGAATGACAGTGCTGAATTCCAATTCGTTGATATGAAGGGCCCTTTCTCCTGATGACCACTGCTAGGCCACTTGATAGAGAAAGTGAGCATCCCAGCTTGAGAGATGCGTCGATAAGTAGGTGTTGAGTCGGTATGAAGGGCACCATAGAGACTCCAATCGCAAACATTCCACTTGTTGAGCAACCAACGAAAGACTGAATGTAGTTGTGCAGGAAGACGAATCAGCTCCCTGGGGTTGTCGTCCCCGATGTATGGGCACAGAAACATCTGAAGAGGGCAAAGCTGCAGCTGGCCCCTGTAAGTCAGCGCTTGTGCCGACGTCAACCACCCTAGTAACTTCTGCCACTGGCGAAAAGTTGTGGGTTGGACCATCACTAGTGGTACGTTGCACTGAATCTTGTCCCACCTCTCCAGGGGCACAAACATTATGACCTGTCGTATTGAATATTGACTGTGATCTGGATCGGTTTCGAAACGTTTAAATGATCTCTGCTGATGGAGAGATCTAGAACGATCAGATGAACCTGTGAGGTGAAATGTTCCGGCCGAGGTGAATTGGTTCAACAGGTGAATTGTTTCGGTGAAGAAAGCTGTTGTGGCGAGGCGAACTGTTTCAGTGTGATGCATCGAATCAATGATGTGAACCGTTTCAGCGATAAGAAACAGTCTTATATATGGCGAATTGAGTCGATGTCGTGATCCAATACGCCTTGGCGAAATGGTTCGGCCTGGTGAATCCATTCGGTGTTGCGAATCGATTCAATGTGGTGAATCAGTTCGGCGATTTGATGGTGTAGATCGGCTTTGTGAGTCAGCTGGCAACACAGAGCGGTTCGATGAGGGGAATGACGAGTAGACATCTGATGATGGGAATCTCCAAATGATGAGCAGTTAATACTGGTCGTTAAAAGAGGGGTTTTTGTCGGGTGATGAACGGTTGAAGTGTAACGAGCTCTGTCTGCCAGCCAACGGGAGCAAGCATGTCTCTATGCGTCTAAAAACGTCCTTGATAAGGAGCACATTCCCGACAACGTTTGCTTCAGGAACACAGGTCACACATGACGAGTGGGGATCCGAGGAAGAAAATATTGTTACAGTGTGTGCAAAATTACGCTACTTAGGGTTAACTTCCCATGATATATTTCTCATGTTAACTTTTAAGGAAAACTGAGAACTCTCACAATACGTCCACACAGTGGTGCAACAAGAAGAAGAATGATCACTCTGAAGTAGTTATGTGGGTAGACAGGGGAACGTGCTGAACGCTTAGCCAGGGACTAGGGACCTGTCCTATAAAGAGAGCAGCCTTTGGAAAAGTTCTCAATCGTTCCACTCAGCGTTGAAGCAAGAAATGTAATTTTTGGAGTAAAATTGATATTTTATACTTATCCTGACTCATGCTCTTTTTGCTTGTCTTCTTCTTCTTGCGAACATAGTGGAACACTTGTATCTCCCTATTGAAGCTCCCTTCAATTTAAAATCACTAATTAGTATTCACCACGAGGTTACCTCCTTTCCTGGCGGGGGGCGAGGCCACCCTCTACCCATGTGCCTCACTCTCTCCTCATATACTGAGCCCAACATTTGAATTTACAGGAAATCCAAAGTGTTATTTGGGGAGGATGGGAGGGCTGACCTCATGAGTCAGGATAAGTATAAAATATCAATTTTACTCCAAAATTACATATTTTTCCTTATCCTGACTCATGCTCTTGCTTGTAGCATCCTACGAGACGGAGGTGGGAATATCTAATACTTTGGATTTTTAATAATTAGTGATTTGAACTGTGATGATTGTAATAACCCTATGGGAACTTCATAAAGGCACTGAATTGATGAATTCCTGCTGCTAACTTATCAGCTGCCATATAAAAGGTTATTACCATGTACTTATTATGATAAAGTATATATAACATTAATACAATGCTTAAGACTAATAGACTTAAGCTTGTTAATATGCTAGTATAAACTCCTTAGAGTTTGTTAGCTAAAATACTTTAAGATATAACATAGTACTAAGCTTAAGATATGATTAAACTTAAGCTAATTATATAATAGCAAACTCTTTAGAGTTTGTTAGTTAATATACTTATATGATATAGATATAATGCTGAGCTTAAGATATGAATAAGCTTTAGCTACATATATAATAGCAAAAACTCTGTAGAGTTTGTTAGCTAATATATTTTTATAATATGAGTATAGTACTGTGCTTAAGCTATAATTAACTTAAGCTACATATATAATAGCCAAACTCTGTAGAGTTTGTTAGCTAATATATTTTTATAATATGAGTATAGTACTGTGCTTAAGCTATAATTAACTTAAGCTACATATATAATAGCCAAACTCTGTAGAGTTTGTTAGCTAATATATATTTATAATATTAGTATAGTACTGAGCTTAAGATATAATTAACTTAAGCT